GCAGGGAGGTCACGTCACAAGGACGGTAACACAGGGCAGTGAGGTATCGTCACAAGGATGGGAACACAGCGCAGTGAGGTCAAGTCACAAGGACGGTAACAGAGCAGTGAGGTCACGTCCCAAGGACGGTAACAGAGCAGTGAGGTCACGTCCCAAGGACGGTAACACAGAGCAGTGAGGTCACAAGGACAGTAACACAGCGCGGTGAGGTCACATCCCAAGGACGGTAACACAGCGCAGTGAGGTCACATCACAAGGACGGTAACAGCGCAGTGAGGTCAGAAGGACAGTAACACAGAGCAGTGAGGTCATGTCACAAGGACGGTAACACAGCACAGTGAGGTCACATCACAAGGACGGTAACACAGCGCAGTGAGGTCAAGTCACAAGGACGGTAACACAGAGCAGTGAGGTCCCAAGGACGGTAACACAGAGCAGTGAGGTCATGTCCCAAGGACGGTAACACAGAGCAGTGAGGTCCCAAGGACGGTAACACAGTGCAGGGAGGTCACGTCACAAGGACGGTAACAGAGCAGTGAGGTCACATCACAAGGACAGAAACACAGCACAGTGAGGTCACGTCACAAGGATAGTAACACAGAGCAGTGAGGTCACGTCACAAGGACAGTAACAAAGGGCAGGGAGGTCACATCACAAGGACAGTAACACAGTGCAGGGAGGTCACGTCACAAGGACAGTAACACAGACCAGTGAGGTCACGTCACAAGGACGGTAACACAGAGCAGGGAGGTCACATCACAAGGACAGTAACAGAGTAGTGAGGTCAGGTCACAAGGACGGTAACAGCGCAGTGAGGTCACGTCACAAGGACGGTAACAGCGCAGTGAGGTCACGTCACAAGGACGGTAACACAGAGCAGGGAGGTCACGTCACAAGGACAGTAACAGAGCAGGGAGGTCACGTTACAAGGACAGTAACAGCGCAGTGAGGTCACGTCACAAGGACAGTAAAACAGCGCAGTGAGATCACGTCACAAGGAAAGTAACAGAGCAGTGAGGTCATGTCACAAGGACAGTAACAGAGCGCAGGAAGGTCACGTCACAAGGACAGTAACAGAGCA